TTTTGTTAGTTTAATATTAGTTAATACATTTTATGCAAATTAAACGATAATTGTGTGTCATACATAACCAAAAAATATGCGTTTTATTTTTAACGGAAAAATCCTAATTTGAGATACCTGTAGGTTCCAAATTTGAGAGTGTCTTAAATTAGGACCCCTTGTAAATTTTTTATTTTTATGTGTTTTGTTGTTTGTAGATGCCGCCAAAAAATAAAAAATGGAACGCAGATAATATGATACGTGCTGTAAATACAGTAAGAAATAGAGAGATGGGCTATTTGAAGGCCTCAAAAGTTTTTGGAGTACCAAAAGGTACCTTAGAACGATATGTGAAATCAGACAAGACTCCAGAAGAACTTGTCGGGATATCAATTGGGCGCCGACCTATTCTTCCTTTGGAATTAGAAAATGAGTTGGTTGAGTATGCCCTAATTATGGAGCAACGTTATTTCGGACTAAGAGCGCGTGATATAAAACGACTGGCATTTCAACTTGCAATACGAAACTCAATAGCACATCCATTTAGCGGAGTCAAAAAAACAGCCGGAAAGAAATGGTTAAGGCTCTTTCTGAAAAGACATCCGGCGCTTTCAATGCGTACTCCTCAGGGAATGTCATGTGCACGAGTAAAATCTTTTACTCCTGAAAATGTATCCAAGTTCTTTGACCTGTATGAACCAGAATATCTTAAGCTTACTAACCCTGCACAACGTATATTCAATGTAGACGAAACGGGCCTTACAATTGTTCAGCACAAACATAGTAAAGTAATTTCCATGAGAGGGAAGAAGCAGGTTTCGTCACTTACTTCAGCAGAAAGGGGCAAGCTGATTACTGCTATTACATGTATGAATGCTGCAGGAGTTTTCGTACCACCATTATTAATCTTCCCCAGAAAAAATATGAAATCAGAGTTGATGCTAGGAGCTCCCATTGGAGCAATCGCAGAATGCCATGTGTCAGGTTGGGTACAGGCCGATATTTTCACTAGATGGCTTCAACACTTCATAAAATTCACTAAACCTTCAGCTGCAGACCCTGTTCTTCTCGTCCTTGATGGTCACTATTCTCATACGAGAAACGTTGCTCTAATAGATTTGGCCAAACAGAATCATGTGACGATTATTTGCCTCCCACCACATTCTACACATAAAATGCAACCGTTGGATGTTGCTTTTATGGCACCGCTGAAAACTTACTATGCACAAGCAATAGAAAACTGGCTTAGAGAAAATCAGTTGAGTGTTGTGTCGCCTTACGCCGTTGCCAGTATTTTTTGTAAAGCGTATAACAAAGCTGCGACGATGGAAATATCTTGCAATGGTTTCCGCAAAACTGGACTGGTCCCTATTTGTCGCCATATTTTTAGGGACTTTGAATTTGGAATTCAAGAGCACTTAGAAACACAAAACGAAAAGGATGAACAAATAATAGAAATAAACCATGAACAAGCAAATCATCCAATACAAGAACATAGAACTCCTAGTCCACCACTACCTCATCAACAACTTGTTTCTCCGAAAGACATCTGTCCAATTCCTAGATTCTACGAGAAAGATACAACTAAAAAACCACATGCCAGATCAGGAAAGGCTTCAATAATTACTTTAACACCCTACAAAGAAGAATTAGAGCAAAGTTTGCAGAAGAAAAAAGCAAAAAAACTAGTACCCCAGCTAAACTTGGATTGTGTATTTGCTCCAGAAAAAAACAGTTCAACAAAAGGTGTTAGATCAAAAAAAACAGCAATGCCCGAAGAAGAAATAGCAGATGAAGACGTAGATCAACCTTCTACATCAAAAGGCAAAACATCAAGAAGGAAGCGGAAAGTTTCTTCGAGTTCAAGCTCAGATAGCAGTGAAAACTTTCCATTAGCTGATTCATCGTCCAACGAAAGTGAAGAAAACGACGCGGAATGTTTATTTTGCACCGGCAAATTTTCCGACGATAGATATGGCGAACGATGGGCAAAGTGTTACCAATGTGGCAGGTGGGCACATGAAGACTGTGGAGAAATAAAGTCCAGCACATTTATTTGCCTTTTCTGCGAAGGAAAGGGCTTTTTTGAATAGTATCTCAAATTAAGGTACCTGTCTCAAGTTTAGATACCTGACTATCCCAAATTAGGGCACCTTTTATTTTTAATATTAAATGTCGCAAAAAAATTAAATGTATTTTTTTGCAAAAATATATGTTTTATTCGCTTTTTTTTTGTTTTGTTGTGTTCTAGAAACATTAAGTTTAAGTTTTCGAAATGAATGTTTTAAAAATTTTAAATATTCTGTTTTATATTTGTTTTTTCAAAAAAAGTGTCTCAAATTTGGTGCCTTTCCTCTATCCTTATATCATGATCATCGAGCAATAAGACAATATTGCTCGATGATCATGATAGAGAATGTTAAATGTACCGAATTTACTTATAACCTTAATTAGATTCCCTAGCAATCAAGCGTATAATCTTTAAATTCATTCTGAGAAAGTCAAACTGCCAATTACTTTTATTATTAATATACTGGCTTTAATAAGAGGAATTAACTAAATTTTTTGTAAAAATTAATTTTTCTGTCAATTTTCATAAACATAAACGTTTATTCTAAACGTTTACTATTTTATTTATAGGTAGCACTTCAAAAAGATAACGCGCTGAGTCAAAAGCCCGAGTATGTTATGTTTGCACTTATTTTCATCCTATTCGGATTAGCAATCGTAGCAGCTTCGTTGAATTTACTGGTTCTTCGATTTGTTACTATGAATACGGAGGATGAGAGACGAGACGAAGCACAAGCGATGCAGGCAAGTATTTACATAATATAAATTTGAGTCAGATTTCGCATATAATTTATTTCATTTAGTGATAATATTCCATCAACTTTATTTGGATGGTTCATTAATGTGAAATCATCATCACTAACAACATGATCTTCTTCTTCGAGTGCCTTATCCGTTGATTCAGGTTTTAATGTAATGATTGTATTAATTTCTTTACTGTGGATTTGTAAAATGGAATTTTACATGTTTAACATTATACCTAGAAGTGTTTTCAGTTCTAAAGGCAAAAACACACAGCCTATACTTCAAATCTTCGGTACCATACATCGGGTCGCGCTGCGAGTATTTTGAAAGATTTTTACAAGTTAAACTAAGGCTGTTTTAGCAGTTAAAGTACACTGCGATTTGAAGTGGGCGTATTACTTACTTTTCTAACATGGACGTATAAACACAGATGGACTGAGTTATTTACATAAAATTGTGAAGTCAAAATTATTTGAATAGGTCACATTCTCAGCACCTTCAGCTGTTGTCACGTTTTGTTTTAAAATTTCTTATTCGCGAGTGGCTGAAAATATTACTCCGTATTTTATACTCTACAGGTGCTATCAAACCAAAATAATAATTTATTAATTATATTAATATATTTAATTGTAATCAAAATATAAAGTGTGCACATAGTGTGCGTTATCATTTAATAATAATGTATAATTTAGATATTAATCAATTATTTTATATGTAGAAGCACTGAAAACTATTTATAGATTGAACAGAAGATCTTCTCTCCCCCTTCAGGATGACCCCAACTGTTATATTGAGGTCATCGTATGTGCAGAACGCAACATAATCATTATGTTGCGTTCTGCACATACGATAACCTCAATATAACAATTGGGATCATCCTGAAGGGGTAGAGAAGATATTCTGTTCAATCTAGAACTCGCTGGTTTCCCCCTTTCGAAATGGGTATGTATATTAAAAGAAAAGAAAATAAATCAAAGCCAGTGGACTGTATAAAACTCTATTTAAAAAAAGCAATGAAATAAAAACATAAATATACAGAACCAAATATACCATTATAATTAAAGAAGAATATATTACTTAAAAGAAGAAGAATATATTACAAACTTAACTATTAGTTACTATGAAAGACACCAACAGACACACCAAAAGACAACCATAAACAGACCAAAACAAAAATGTCGATTCTATAAAAAACCACTGACAAAACAAAAGACAAATCCTACCATAGCCGCAAACATACTGTATATTAAAAAGATAAAAGCCAAATTAATAATCTTACCAAAAAAATCAACCTAAATAAGGATATAATATTTTAACGTTGTAAAAACAAATTAAGAATGCGGTACATACAAATAATCAATAAGTACAATTATTAAAACAAAACATACAAGAAATAAAATCGGTGTTAACAAAATACACAAAAAAATATACAATACAGTAAATAAACCGAAACAAATGCAAAATGTCCAATTAACAATGTTCAATCTCGATCGCAGCACAAATACGATGAAGTTCCAAATATCAAATAAATATACCAAGTGCACGTACTTGATATATGCAACAACAAATTAATATGGTGTATTGTTTCTTACCCCATGAAAAAGATAGCCCCAACGCTATCGCAAATTATGTCTTCAGCGACACTTCAACTACCAAAAGTTGTGATGCACATTAGCGTCTTTCTTGGCCGATGCGGAATCAGGTACTCTTCGTCTTCAACATACACATGTGCATCGGTTGAGAGATGCATTTCGACTCTTGTTTTGTATGGAACGCAAACCCTTATTTTAGGTACACACACATGTGCTGATATTTCGCAGATGGCCCGCCTTGCAATCTTTAGCCCTTAAAACGGCTGTGTCACTTACACGAAAATCTGGTTTAAAATATACGAGGAGAATAGAAACTATTAAAAAGTCTGTTAATACATTTACAAATGTTTATATACAGTTGCGAAACTGCAATAAATAGTACGGATTGATGACCGTTTTTTAAACTGATTGCGACGCTTGATTAAATCGAACTGACTAAAAAAAAGCTAGAACATGTCACTACACCATTTATACATACAAAAATGACCAAATAAATTTCTCACTAGGATACACACGTGCCGTAGTATTCAGTTTAACCAACCGTATAAGAAGTGGTGGATAACTAATTCTGAACTAATTGTAAAACAATTAATCAATTTTTTTATTCTTTTGCAGGCATTAGCGGGGGCAGTTAGGTTAGAAGGAGACGTAATAACAGCTAACGGATCCATTTTAAGTGGTCAATTAGGACATCATTGTACAGAAACCACGTCCTTAGATATTGATGATACCTCTGTGTGTTCTTGTCCATGTGGATGTATACCAACTAATACGAGACATAGGTAATTAAATAGTTATGATTCGGGTAAATTTTAATTTTTTTCTTTAAATAACAACACAAATGCTTCACCGCAGTACACACCTATCAATGAAGACAAAAACCATATCATTCATTTTGTTGAAAATTTTAAAAAGATGAATTTTTTTTTTCTTAGTTTGTTATAATGTTTCTTAAATTTAAAGTTGTTATCAAGTTTATAAAGAAAGATTCAGTAGAATTCATGAGTATATTGTATACTGAGATGACATGGTTTAACCTTGGACGAGTTGTTACTGATAATTGCAACCTATTCTCATTGTAATAACTAATATTTTTTGTTACTAGGTTTACAGTCCGGAGATCACCGACACAAATCAGACATCTTCTTCCCGTTCTGCCGATGCATGAGCTCCATCTTCCCCAGGGGTCAATTTTGCCCCCACCAGCAATATTTCCGAATCACAGGGCTTCGATATGATCGCCTAAACGGGCTATCAGCCTATGCTAATCAATGTGATAAAATAACTGAATTAAAATCGATTAAATTGATCTAGCTAGTGATAGATATTAACCATGCAATAGTGGTTGGTATATCATCGACAAGCGAAGCCGTTGACCCGAATTTAGGAAATAAAACAGAAGCCTCTAAATTTATATCCTACAGAAATACGCCTTAATATTTATGGTGCAAATGCCAATACGGGTCTATTTAGTATTCTTTCACTTCTAGGCAGTTATACACTAAATGCAAAACAGATGTCGCTATACACCATATTTCACTTGTTACCATATTTAGAATGTGGTAGCATATTACGAAGTATAATCAAGTTTTATTACCATTAGATTTCGCTAGATTTTTATATCTTTCTTTTCAAATATATTGTTTTTTAAAATCTGACATTTTGTTGGGAGGTATTTGCCTTAAAACACCACGCTGACAAGGCGGGTTGGTGAGTTTTTAATTCAGCCGCTCATTGTGAGTACCGACGCTATTTGAAGCCGCCCGCTCCGGATCAGACGCTTCTAGATTTTTGATCTTATACTACCCCTAAAATCAAGGATTGCCAGCTCAGCCATCTTCGCCGTACCAGAAGTATTCTTCGTCGCCTTGGATGCAGTTCTGTACTTCATCCGTGACCCTGGGCAAAGGACCCTTAGCAGGTGCTAGCTTCCCGGGTCAAGAAGCTCCTGGAATCTGCGGGGAGCAGGTATTGATTCACTTTCCCTGATAGGACTATCCAATAGAATCCAAGGGACTCCAAAGGAGTTTCTACCCGCTACCCCACAAAATATTACATACGCCATATTAACTGTTCAGTTTGACGTCGTTTTCAAATATCTGGAGAATGTAGGGAATTATTAAATAATAAAAATTAACGTTATTTTTTAAAAAATAAGGTCTTTTTTACTCTCAGTTTATGTACTCAGAGGTATATGATGAAAAAGTATAGCTACAAAAAAAATGAATTAATAAATAAAGAAAAATTGTTCAATTGTCAAATTGCTACCTACTTAACAAAATTTGAATATTTTTACTTATCAAAAAAACATGACGATCAACAATTTCTTGACAATTGGGTTTATTATATTTGAAATAAGCTATTTCTTATGTCAAATTATTTTGGTTGCAAATGCAAAAATAGATGCAAATCGTACAATACTTTACCATATTAAAGCTATATATATATATATATATATATATATATATATTATATATATATATATATATAATATATATATATATATATATTTATATATATATATATATATATATATATATACGACCTATATATATATATATATTATAGCAAGTAATTGTTTAAAAAGTGACAAATTTTGTCTCGTTTATAAAACATGATCAATCCCATGATTTTTACTGTCAAATTCGTTTATGACAAGTGACATCTGACATGCAATATATGTTTTGCGGTTATTTCCATGCATTTATAAACCAAAAAATATTGACAATCTGTATTGGCTGATTTTAGAGTCAGACTAGAGAGTGAAGGAAAACTAAATGTTGCACCTTGCACCATCATTTACATTACAAAGAAAATTTATTTATGTTATCTGTAAAAATGTACATATATTCAAAACCATATAGAGCTATTTTACTAGAGATTATTATAAATACATTTTGTTTTTACGAAAAACAAGTTGACCTCAACGTTAGTAGAGTTTTAAGCTTCTTCTAGATACCAGTAAAAGCTTGTCTATTTATCTATAATCTATATTCCTTCTTCGAAGGTTGCTACTTCATTCTGATTTTCGTCCGATGTGTTGCTGCTGTGAATAGTTGAATTTGATGTATTGCTACTATAAATAGTTGACTGGTAACACAGTTAAACCAGTTTCGCCAATTACACAGCCATTATATGATTCTTTGTGATATAATGCATTTTCCTTAGATTTTTACCAAAAAATTTATGGTTATCTACGTCTATCTTAGACTTATCTTTAAACGGGGAGTATATGTTTTATTCCTATTGATTATTTTTATCACCATTGTGTTACATGCTTCCACACTGCTGAATTTTGACGTCCAGTATAATTTGTATCTGGAGGGCCGTGCTTAGAGAAGCATACCACCTTTTATCTGTTGTTTCCGACGGAATATAGTCTAAATAACACTTATCAAAGTATTACTTTATTTGAAAAGTTTTTTTTAATATCAGAAAGCAGTTATTGTTTTTTGAAAACTTCACAAATAGAAATTCTTAAAAAAGTATTTTAACTTCTAAACTATATGTCCGATTGTTGAATATTGCTACTCTCTAAATCGTATAGAGTTAGAGTACAGCTTTATCACAGCAGATAAAAGATAAGAGCTGTAGAACACATCGCAAAAATCAATTTGTATATAATATACAGTTAACTTATAAATAATCGATGCCAACTTAATAGATATAACATCATATCAAAAGTTATAACTTCAAGTCATCAGAACATTAAACTCAAGTTTAAAGTAGGTATAAATAAAATAATATACTGAGAAGATTTATACGTCATTCAAGAGAAAAAAATACCCAAAAAAATCATGAATAACTAACTTGTGGTTAAATATGTTGTAAATTAGAATTGCCATTATTAAAGAAATGTATAACAAACTCACTCAACCAACAAACCGTGCCGTAGTAGTGCCCAAGTTTTAGGCGTGGGTAGCTTCCATGACGATTTGCCGATATCGTTCTCGATCTTGCGAGCCAGTTCATTGACAAAGGTTTCGGAGCCATGAGTATTTCTTTCTACCAATTCCTCGTCAAACATCGTGCGCTATTAAATATTCTAGAAAGAAAAGGATTAGACTGCGAAGACCTAAAAATCATTCAGTACCTATATGAACACCAAGTAGCAATACAGTTTGGAAACAGACGAACAAAAGCTATTTCAATTAAACGTGGAGTGAGACAGGGCTGCATTCTGAGTCCTATGTTATTTAACATGCACTTTGGTATTGTATTTCAAAGCCCAATTGAAGGTAAAGAAGATGGCATAAAAGTGAATGGTAAATTAATAAATATCTTAAGATATGCAGATGACAGAGTTATATTGCAGAGAGTCTTAAAGGCCTACAGTGCCTTCTTGATAAGATATATGAAGAAATGAAATGGCCAGAGCATACTTCTTGAAAATGGGAAGTATTTGTATCTACAAACAAGATTTAATTTTGTAAACTGCTACAGATATTACACTATTTAATATGGTGTTGAAGCGTGAACGCTAAAAGTTACCAGTTTAAACAGACTTGACGTATTTGAAACCTGGGCATGTAGACGAATGTTATTAATATCTCAGTCTTCCCAATCCTAAAAGAAATGCAATAATCTACTGTCATCGTCTTGTTTCTACGTAAAAAGTACAAAAGATTACAAAGAAATGGGAAAAAATAATGGAAAATAAATAATTCAGCTTTATAGATGACCTGGGAATAAGAGAACGTTTTTTTTTTCATTTTTAATATTACTCAAATGTCATGTAAAGTACAGAAATCCATACGTTTAAAAATCTATAAATCTAAAGATATAAAACCACATAAGCTGTGTGTTGTCCCCAAATTTGTTTAACGTGCAATCGAAAATAACGTTTAAAGAAAGCTTTGAAGGACAATACGGAGTTCACACTGAAGGACAATTATCAAAAATTTTATATATGCGGATGACACAGCGATGATGGCTGAAAGTATCGAAGATCCTCAATTCCTTATAGACACAAAATACAAAATTTACCTATTTTAAATATTTGGGATGCTGGATAAACAAAACAATAAATCCCACTGATTTATTTTGAAACTAAAACTCATATAAAAATCGTAAGATAATTTGTGACCCCTAGAACTACATTCTGCAGTTTAGAGCTGAACCTAGGAGTCTATTTTAGTTCTAAAGTATTATGTGTATCCTCTATTGTGATCATAAAAGTTAATATAATGAAACAGTTAAAAGTCTTCTAGATGCGATCTTACTGTCGAATGTTCAAAATATCATGAGTTCAATAAAAAAAACCTGAATACTTGGGACCAAAAACGAGAATTCGCAGTTACTGCAGTTAATACTTAAGAGAAGGCTAGAGAGAAAGAGGGAATTGGTAGGAAGAAATATATGTAACTTTAAATCCTTCGTCATTAAAATGATGAAGGTTAAAAAACATGTCGGTATATTGTCATGAAGGCTGCCCCTGTCTAAATCTGGGGCGATACTGAAAAAAATAAGAGAAGAGTGTAGTGTTATGAAAAATGGCAAATGCATGTCTGTTTAAACACCAAATAATAGTAACTAACACATATGGTAACTTACCCTTCGAAATACGCCACTGAATGAATGTCTTGCTTCCGATCGTTACGTATATGGAAATATTTCGACAAATCTAGACGAAAATTCGTCATTTGTGCAGCTGGAATTTTCTTATAATTGGCGTTTTTGGGTTGGCTCCGTACAGAAATTACAAAAAAATTAAAAAAAAGCACCCACATACATTAAGAATGTAAAGAGAAATATGTATAATTATAATACACTGAAAAAAGCGTCTAAATTAATTTCATAACTGTTTTAAAACACTGGTACTACTTAAGAGTAAAGGATCTTTAAAATAAATTAAGAATTATGGAATTGCCAATGAATGACATACTTCAACAAGCAAATGATGTTTATTAAAAAGGCAACACAGCGCATTATACTCAAAACATTAAGACAAATATATAGCAAATAGGTTGTCAACGAATACAAAAAAAACAAAACCCATGTATATGAATACTAATGTATACCTAATGTATACAATAAATTGCAGACTGTAACAATATCAAGACATTTAATAAATAAACATATCTAAGTAAAATGGAATATTATTCATCAGAATTTGGAAAAACATGGTAGCCATATTTTCAGTTTTTCTAGTATAGTTGTTCTTTATTTCCAGTACACCAAAAACCCTTAATATTACACACTTAAGAAACAATCGTTCAATTCCTTCTTACTTTCAAAA